GCTCCTCTGCATTCAAAGCGTGCGTAAAAACCCTGCTTGGAAAATGAAATTCACAAACGTTCATGATTGGCTACTTGAATCAAGAAAGACATACAAGTTGATTTTCTTGTCATCAACTCCTCTGTTTTCACTAATTTTCCATTAATTATCTACTTTTCTGTGAAATGTACGAAATATATAAAGAACAGATTTATGTGCGCGCGTTAAATGCTCAAAATCGACTTTTCCAGTTAAATACAATCCTGGACAAAACTACTTGAGAAAATGTTTTCATTAATGCTTACTACCTAACACAACAAAACTATTTCCAAATCAACGGCTTTGTGTAAAGAAAACCCCCTCCCCCAGTTCAAAGTTGCTTCCTACAAATGCTTAGGGATCCGGCTTTCTTTTGAAGACCCAACAACACTGCTTCCAGGGGGAGGGGGGAGGGAAGAATTGGTCGGCTACAAAGTTTAGAAAAAATGCCCCCCAAGTGTGAAAATTTTCTCATCAGTTTTGTCCAAGATTGTAGCATTATTTACTATGACAGTATTTGTTTCTAGATTTAAACAGTTGGATTTACTATTATCACTTTCTATATTTGTACAAGTAATGAAAGAAAGTCCCCTGATTCAATGTTGTCAACAGACGCGATTATCTTTTTGTTTTTCATTGTTTTTGCTGCCTTTTTCTGCTTGACAGGAGATAAATCTTTTCATCAATGACTTCCTCTTAACAGGGGATTCCTTCCTCTACACAAATACTGATGGTAATGCCATGGTTTTCAGATCTCTCTTACGCCTCGCAAAGAACAATTTGAGGTCGTCTCACTTAAAATGTCTGGAGCAAACTCATGTATGTTTGGTAACTTGAAATACTCGCCCACATCTCTTCATATGGCCACTATCCATTTGTTAAACATTATTTTCTTCTGGAAACTTGAAATATGAAGTCTAGTATCCACTTTCCACATAACCATTTTTTCTACATTCTGGTACACAGCTGTTTGAAGCATTTTCTAAACCTTCTTACAGCATTTAAAAGTACTGCAAAAATCAGGAGACAGCCCTCGATGCCATGCTTCGATGCACCTAGACCCAGTTTGACTGGGTAAGCAGCCATTTTGGATTTGGGTGTATAAAAGAAGTGTGTTAAGAGAATATTCATGATACAGGCTGTATGAAAGTTTGCAAGCATTCAAAAATAAATGGTAAATATCTCCTTAGTAGACTGATGAATAAGAGGACATCTGGAACATTTAATGCCATTATTTCTTTGCTTTGGTGAACAACTCTTTTTCATAATCCACAGAGATGTGTACCCATACCAGCAGCTAAAGTGATTGAGCAAGTGGCTTTCAATGTTATAAGTTTCAAAGACATGGCCAAACATCAGCTCATGTCTTGCATTAAAAAGTATGGACTGAAATCAGCAAAGGAGGCTCAAAATGGGCGATTCCAGAAAATATCCATACCTATACCACGGACGGCTTTTTAAGATTTCCAAAGGGGAGGGAGGTTCATGATTAAGGAATTCTGGGGGCATAAGGGGGGGGATTTATGACTGGAAATCCGAAGGCATGGGGGAATTCCACAGGTGGGATTTCTGGCGTAGAAAGTGTAGAGTGAGTTCCTTGAAAACGCTATTGTTGTGGACTTTTGTAGTGCGTAAATAAACCAAGCACATATGACCGTGGAAGCAGAAGACAAGCATCGATAGATCAAACAGGTGTTTACGCTCATAACTTATAGACGTGAACAGTAAAACTTGGGTTTCACATTTACCTTGATGAATTTGTTGTCACATGAATAAAAACTGAAAATGTATCTTACCGCTTGCAAATTTCTTGTTACTCCCGTCCGATGAACAGTAAAAAACTCGCACCAGTCGCTTGCTTCCAAGGAACGCCTGCCGTCGTGCACACATGACGTATAAAAGGACACAATGAGGAAAGATCGAAGACTCGATGGTATATTTGACCGCCAAAAGATTTTAACAGTCTGAATTTGAGCTATTTTGCTTTGTAAACGTCAAAACAGCACAAGAAAACAAAGAGTAGTAAAATTACCGTAAGAGGTGTTTATTTTTATAGCCAAATTAAGCCTTAAAAAAGAAGTTTGCACAGCCTGGCCACTAGCCGTAGGTTTTGTCGCTGAAGAGTAAAGCTTGTCGCCTGGCGCCGCTAGATCACAGCCTCGAGGAGGCATAAATTCATGTTCGTTTGTTCATATAGGCGTTGCTAAGTCAAAAATGTCCTTCCAATAGAAAACGGATATTGTGAAGGGGAGGGGGGGTTCACGATTATGGAATTCTGAGGGCATGGGGGGATAACGCATTTTGGAATTTTGGAAGGCAAGGGGGGTTAAAACATGGAAGTCGTCCGTGGTCGTGTATGGATATTTTCTGAAATTGACCAATCTGGACAAAGAAAGGGCAGCTCAGATTGTGGTATTGTATCTTCTTGATAACAAAATTGTGCACAGTAAGTCTGGAAAAGACCTGAAGCATGTTTCCCGAGCAGTTATTATTAAAAAGGTCTATCTGAATTTACTGATGTTCAGTATTCCCATTTCCAATCATGTGCTATCTTAAATGGGTACAAAACTGAACACTAAAAATATGTTCCTGTTTTTGTTTAATTAGTAGAGTCCATTCCTTAGTTCTAATCCAAAACAAATCATTAAACTTCGTGCCGATTTAATTGTGTACCCCAAATTTTGGGGTTATCAAGTATTCATATATTCAGGCTATTGTTCTTGCCATTGTTGAATACCTTCAGAAGAAACCACGAGCGGAATTCCTTTGAGTTAGGTGCGAGATCTTTCTTTTGTTTCAATTCTTGTTGCTTGATTAACTTTTTAATCCCCATTGTTACTTCATGAGTATTAAATTTCTCCGTTAAATACTCGGACTTGCCTGTTAAAGTTGCGGCATTTGCGCGAATGCTTACAGGTCTTAGAGAGCGAGGCAGCAAGTCTGGTTGCGGTAACATATTTTCGGTCACGCAGCCTATTACAAAGTAAACAAGCCTGATAAATTTGAAGTGGGGTAAAGCTTAGAAATACCTGATCTCCAGTGTTATTTATTTATTCAATACTCACTTGCCTTGAAAAGTAATTTCGTGTTCAAAGAATTTCTGCAGAAGGTATTTATTAGAACTCAATTTATTGATTGCTTACTCCAAGATGATACAACTGACCATCTGACATATTCTCCTTCCAGAAGGGCACCCCTCTTCTGGTCCACCCTATGTTACACTCAAGTGTAGGGTTGCCTCCAGAGACACCACTACTCTGGGGATCCTCCTAGGGACACCCCTACCCTAGGGGGCTAGGTTCTGCCTTCCCTGCCACCCAAATTTTGCAAAATTATCGTTATTAACGTAATATAATTAAATAAAAAAATAAATAGACGAAAGGAGAATCTGTATTCTTTCTTCTTTAGTTTTACAAGCCTTGCAGCGGTAGGGGGAGGAGCAATCATTGTTACCCTCAGTTATCCATACCCCTCTCCTCGGCATGCGCATATTTCCTGTGGCTCTCCCCTTTTCATGTCACTGTCCCTTAGGGATTCATTAACCCACAATGGATGGTTTTTCATTCTACAATATTGAAAGTGGCCTTCGACTCCTGACCTACCCAGATGTTTGCACTGCCCAGTGCCAGTAAGGAAAAACATTTTGTGCTTCCCATTGCCAGTTTTTAGCTACAAGGCATCCAGAAGTCCCCACAGATCTTTGTGGTTTTTTTACATTCTGTGGCGTTCTTAAAAATACCCATTCCTCTGCAGGTACATTATGTTTCCTTCATTTGTTACTTAATATGTCTTGATTTCTTTCAAGTCAACAGTTGTGTAATTTTCTTTCAACTTTTTAGTGAGGTGCAGAAATAATTCAATTTGAGAATCTACCGCTAAAAGAGTCATAATCATACTAAGCAATTCTCCCTTGGTGATACAACCGACAATGAAGTTACTTTGAAACTTAATGTTTAGAGGTCGAAAACTCTGATTCATTTTTCTTAAAAGATGATGATGAGTCTTCTACTCAAGTGTCAAATGAAACTGACATGGGAAAATTAAATCTGCAGTACAGGATGTAGTTCCTCTGCTGTGTTTAAATAAAATTGTGAAATGGTGCTCATGTTCAACCCTCAACTTCTTCCACTTGTTTATGTAAGTAATTACCATAAGTCTTATTATGGTAGTATTTTTTTGGTTCTTTCATTCTTGCAAGTTAATCTCATGCATTTAGACTGATCTGTCAATGAATATTATTTAACATGGTTATATTCATTCCATTTCCCCAATAACAAAAAAAAGTCAGGAAGTACTAAATATTTCAACTACACTGTTCGTACAGAATCAACAACACACAGTGGTGTGCTTTGCGCCTCAAAAGAAACCAACCATGGATACACTAGGACAGCAACACTCCCCCTTAAGAATTCAACAATACAGCATCAGTACTAAGTATGAATGAGAAGATATTGTGATCAACAAGAACACATTAATATCACCCACTGCAGTTAACTTTGAATACAACAACCAAGAATCTAACACCTTATCTATTGGACCCATTTCTGAAGTTGCTCCTGGACAACTTGTACTTGTGAAAGGCCACATGGAACACCTGTCAGCTACCAAAACGGTAGTTTTGCAGTCAAACCCAGTGAAAAAGCAGGAAGCCTTTATTAATGACCAATTTGGATATGTAAAACTTGTGTTGTGGGGAAACCACAACGACACATTGACTGAGGGGTCCACATACCTGCTTGACATAGTTTGAGTCAAAGTAATCAATGAAGAAAGGTACTTAAATACCCCAAAAAATGAAAATGAGAGCACCATCCCCTCAGTGGCCAAATTTGCACAAACACTGCATCCGGTACAAAACATTTCCACTTCAAAGGACATCACAGCAAACATCATTGGTCTGACAAACATGAACAGCTGCCTTACCTACTGTTCTGGCAACAAGAGCGTCACCACAAACGGAAATTGTAATCTGTACCAACTGTACCATGTCTATGAAGATAACCAGTTGCAACCAACACTGGTTTCTAAAGATTTATATTCAAGACTCAACCATTCCAGAAACAATGATTAAGCTTGCAGTCTTCCACAATGAGACAAAAAAACTATTTTTAATGTGCGACATCCATGATACTCCCTCAGAAGAATGAAGTGATCGAAAACCCCCAGGATTTCAGGAACTTGTAAAAATAAGTTATGACACTTAGTCAAATAAGCTCATTGACATTGAGAAGATAATCATTTGATCTCAGCAATTTCTTCAAAACAAGAATTCTCAATTGGACCATGTTAACGTGCTACACCACACTTTATCTAGTTGATTGACACTGAGAACCATTGTCTTCACATTTCTCAATGTTGACATTGACTTCCATACCAAGTTCAGTTTAAATTCTGTAACCACCTTAATGGAGCCAAGTAGCTTTACTGGCATGGATCTGATCCAGATTAAATGGAACATTATGTAAACACACATAATCTTGTATTCCATAAAAAAAACATTTTATCAATCGTAAAAAAAAATACCTGCTAAATTCTAGTTGTTAGTAAGTTCCATTTCATGATCGTTAATGTTCTATTGAGTTCAATAATAGCAAAGCACTTTCCTTCGGAATTTCACATCTACCTCGCCTTTAGATAACGAGACATTTCTTAACAGTTAAAATGAAAACCTTGTTCCAGTTAAAAGTTACAGGGTGTCCCAAAAGTTCGTTCCTCTACTTTATAAGTCTGTGACGCAGTACGATTGGACTTGATCAGCACATAATTTAAACCAAAGTTGTGACTTTCAATATAATTCACCATTTTCATACTTGTTATGCCATCTTTTGACTCGAATATTTGGCTACTTCCGCGGCAAAGGTGCCCGTGTGAGAGTATATTTTCCAGCCACATATTTTTTGTATTTCATAGCCTGAATTGCTCAAACTCCTTCCTTGGTTTTTGTGAATATCACGAAGGATGAACCCCCTTAACACAAAAACGTTCAGCTGCGTGAGAGCGTAAGCCTGTATACTTCGATTTACTAGCTTATCTGTTCTAGAAATTGCTAAAAAAAACTGGAAAAATTCAAATGTTGAGTGGTAGAATGATCATGGAGAAATGAAGGTTTTGAAGGCAAGAAACTAAGGGGGAGACCAAAAGCCCTGAATAGAGCAGCTAAAATAGTTTTAAAGAAGGCTACACACAAAATAGGAGACTCGACAAGGAAGCTCACTCTCACATAGTTAGCAAGCCAAATAAAAGGGTCGTGAAAAGCTGTTTAAAATGTTTAAAATTAGAGGCCCCTGAGATGGCAAAAAACCTCTGCTTAGTCTGCCAATTAATGCCCAGCTCGTTTCAAATTTGTAAAGAAGTACAAAAGCCTTGCTGTGGAAGGGGGCAAGGATGATTATCTTTTTTGGATGAATGCCCAAAATATATTTTTTTCAGCTGCCTAAACTGAACAAATTTTGTTTGGGGGTGGAACTGGATCCTGCGCACCAGGTGATAAAAAAGCTCAAAATGGATCATTTGTGGGTCCACACCCTGTATCCCAATTAATGCCGCAACGGCTACAGAATGTGTTAAAAAAACAAAAAGGGCATGCCAGTTACTGAATTTCTGAATACATGTACTTGATAAAGAAGTAAACATCTTCTAGCAATTTCATGTAAAAATATAGTTTTGATCAAAAGTTATAGTGCATGAAATTAGAGGAACAAACTTTTGGGACACCCTGTATATATAACAGCCGTAAATATGACCAGAAATCCATGACAGTATAGCTCTTAAATTACAGATGCACGATCAATGCAGTACAAAAGAAACAGTCNTTCAGCTGCGTGAGAGCGTAAGCCTGTATACTTCGATTTACTAGCTTATCTGTTCTAGAAATTGCTAAAAAAAACTGGAAAAATTCGAATGTTGAGTGGTAGAATGATCATGGAGAAATGAAGGTTTTGAAGGCAAGAAACTAAGGGGGAGACCAAAAGCCCTGAATAGAGCAGCTAAAATAGTTTTAAAGAAGGCTACACACAAAATAGGAGACTCGACAAGGAAGCTCACTCTCACATAGTTAGCAAGCCAAATAAAAGGGTCGTGAAAAGCTGTTTAAAATGTTTAAAATTAGAGGCCCCTGAGATGGCAAAAAACCTCTGCTTAGTCTGCCAATTAATGCCCAGCTCGTTTCAAATTTGTAAAGAAGTACAAAAGCCTTGCTGTGGAAGGGGGCAAGGATGATTATCTTTTTTGGATGAATGCCCAAAATATATTTTTTTCAGCTGCCTAAACTGAACAAATTTTGTTTGGGGGTGGAACTGGATCCTGCGCACCAGGTGATAAAAAAGCTCAAAATGGATCATTTGTGGGTCCACACCCTGTATCCCAATTAATGCCGCAACGGCTACAGAATGTGTTAAAAAAACAAAAAGGGCATGCCAGTTACTGAATTTCTGAATACATGTACTTGATAAAGAAGTAAACATCTTCTAGCAATTTCATGTAAAATTATAGTTTTGATCAAAAGTTATAGTGCATGAAATTAGAGGAACAAACTTTTGGGACACCCTGTATATATAACAGCCGTAAATATGGCCAGAAATCCATGACAGTATAGCTCTTAAATTACAGATGCACGATCAATGCAGTACAAAAGAAACAGTCAAAAGGTTCATTACCTTGATGTATTTTCCATCACTATATCTCAGTCACAGCAGTTGATCAAGTTTCAAAAATCTTAAAATAAAGTTTGACAAGTCTTTTACCTAGTGAATGATGTTTGTTGTTTTGTAGTGAAAAAATCGGTTGCCGTATTCGATTTTTTTTAGAACAATGAAGCCTCAAATCCCTCATACGTGCATCTCTGTCTCACAATATTGCCAAAAATGCCATAAAGTACCTTCCCTAGAGGATCCAAATGAAGGATGCCCGCAGCTTATTAAAACTCTTTTTGCTTTGTTTACATTAGAAACCTCCTTTACAGTGCAAAATTAAAAGCATTCTACAATGTTTGATGGTTCCAAAGCACGATAAATGAAGGGAAAATAACGTGAAATTCGATGAGAGGAATATTGCGATTTAAAGGTCCACATGCGGCCGAGAATAATCCATGTTTTAGAGGGTTGTTTTAGAGCTTTCTCATCGCGATTCATTCTCCCATTTGATTCCCAAGAATCGCTACTTCGGCCTGGTATCCACATGTCTAATTCATAAATAGCAAATTGCCAAGGCTTGCATCATACCATAACTACTTTGCAAGTAAAATGTCAGATGAATTCAGCAAATGCTCCTCCAGTTTCAAGAAGGAGATTGCGATCACTCAAGTGGATATCCGTTATTCCGTGAACAAGCTAGTTTCACGCCCTCAACATCCCAGGACAGGCAGTACAGGAAAAATCTGGACTACATCGATCTTCTGGAGGGCTGGGTCCTCGTATACCGGTTAACGAAAATTGGTTGATATCGGTCAACCGAAAGATAGCACGACAGCTGGATAACTTGATACATATTGATAATACATGCATGCTCTAATAAATAAAATGGCAACTGGATAACTTGATAAATAATAAATGTTTCAATCTTAAAATGACAGTTTTGGTTCATGGTTGGGTTTTTTGGGTCATTTGGGCCAGCTGGGCCAATTGGGTCATTTGGGCCATATGGGGCAATTTGGTCATTTGGGCTATTTGGGCCAGTTGGGCCATATGGGGCAGTTAGGTCATTTGGGCTTTTTAGCCCAGTTGGGACAATTATTGGCCCATTGATTTCGCGCCACAACCACAAACTGCCAAAATACAACCGCTGACTGATGCGCCCGTTTTAAGCTCATTCCTGCCAGCTTTTCCCGCTTTCAAAGGATCTGTTTATAACATGCATCGTACAAAGCTTTGAACCCTCAAGCTTCCGCTTTTTTGTGTGTATATCATGGACTGACAGTAATGTCACATTGACTGCGGAACTGGAGTCGCAGCTGGGCCAAATTCGCATTCCTATCTACGAAGTTTTACCCCAATGTCTTCGCCAATGGCTGACGGCGTTTGCTTATAGCAATGGCACAACGAGCGGATGTTGCTTTGTTCTGCACTGGTATCCACGAGCTCTTTGCTGGCTCATGCAATACTGAAGCTTTTTGGCTCATACGAGAAGGAAAACCNATTCAGCAAATGCTCCTCCAGTTTCAAGAAGGAGATTGCGATCACTCAAGTGGATATCCGTTATTCCGTGAACAAGCTAGTTTCACGCCCTCAACATCCCAGGACAGGCAGTACAGGAAAAATCTGGACTATATCGATCTTCTGGAGGGCTGGGTCCTCGTATACCGGTTAACGAAAATTGGTTGACATCGGTCAACCGAAAGATAGCACGACAGCTGGATAACTTGATACATATTGATAATACATGCATGCTCTAATAAATAAAATGGCAACTGGATAACTTGATAAATAATAAATGTTTCAATATTAAAATGACGGTTTTGGTTCATGGTTGGGTTTTTTGGGTCATTTGGGCCAGCTGGGCCAATTGGGTCATTTGGGCCATATGGGCCAATTGGGTCATTTGGGCCATATGGGGCAATTTGGTCATTTGGGCTATTTGGGCCAGTTGGGCCATATGGGGCAGTTAGGTCATTTGGGCTTTTTAGCCCAGTTGGGACAATTATTGGCCCATTGATTTCGCGCCACAACCACAAACTGCCAAAATACAACCGCTGACTGATGCGCCCGTTTTAAGCTCATTCCTGCCAGCTTTTCCCGCTTTCAAAGGATCTGTTTATAACATGCATCGTACAAAGCTTTGAACCCTCAAGCTTCCGCTTTTTTGTGTGTATATCATGGACTGACAGTAATGTCACATTGACTGCGGAACTGGAGTCGCAGCTGGGCCAAATTCGCATTCCTATCTACGAAGTTTTACCCCAATGTCTTTGCCAATGGCTGACGGCGTTTGCTTATAGCAATGGCACAACGAGCGGATGTTGCTTTGTTCTGCACTGGTATCCACGAGCTCTTTGCTGGCTCATGCAACACTGAAGCTTTTTGGCTCATACGAGAAGGAAAACCTTCACCTTATTGCTACTGCTCCTTCTGGAACGGGAAAACACCAGCATGCCAGTAAGGTTGCATAGAGCCAATCATGGGCCATGTCGAAGACAAAATAAAAGCGAGCATCGTAATCGATGAAACATCGTCAAGTGGCCTGTTCAACCATTTATTGGGAGCTTAGTTTCTTTTTAGACTGCCTATTTTCTTTTGGGTTTAGCAAGCTCAAGCTAATCTTATAAACATGAAAGACAATGGGTTCCTTGTTTAAAGAAAATTGCGTGACACTGGTCAAATCCCAGATAGCATGACAACTGAAATGGAAATCTTGAGAAATATGATATTTTCAATGAATTGAATTAACAGTTTTTTAATTTGCTAAAAATGTGGATTTGTCAGATACCTATGCAACTGAATTTTAGGGAATTTTCTTTAATGGGTTACTTACAAGGACTACTGAACTTGTGTCCAACATCCTGAGGGGCCGGGGAGGAATTCCCATGTGAAACAGACAGGGAAAATTACTGGAAATTTTGAAATAAACCCCCAAAGGAGACCAATCAGGTTTTGACTCGAGCTTTCTGTGATGCCCAAAAGATACTACAAATACTAAAAATGTAATTTATCTCTCTTCATTTCTTTACGTGCAACCCTAGTGTATTAAAATGTTGGTGTCTTGCCCAGAAAACCCTAGGCAAGACAACAAACGTTCCCGTCTGTTTTGTATGAGGGTCCCCTAGGGCCTTCCCCATTTCCATTTAGGGGTAGGTGAGTAGAAGTACTAGAAATTATCTTCATTTCTGTGTCAAGAAAAACATTTATTAATTCAATGCCATGTATAATAAAATATGAACAATTTGATACATTTAACAATTGATTAATGCGTCATCATGCACTTATCGGGATATGAAGCTCGCAGGAAGTCGTTGGAGAGCACGAAAGATGCATAAGAGTTGCTCAAGGCGTAGCCAAGAGCAACTCTAGCTTATTGAGTCAACTGCTCTCCATGAAACTTGCAGGATGCTTTATATCGTGATAAACATACAGATGACACATGAACCAATTGTTTTAACACTTTTAACTCGGTGGTTTAAATATTGTATAACAAGAAATTCCCTCTGCTACATCATCAACATGCACAGTAGCAATATGAATCACGCTCGTGCGATTAAATTTGACTATACGTATTTATCAGCTATAAATTATTATTTATTACAGTATTCACAATGCCAATCCTGTGTGTGGATGAGGCGTACTCTCTCCTTTAAAGACTAACATATTAACGAAAGTCCACATCTCAGATGAGCCTCTCAACAGAACGCCTCTGTAGATGTTTTGATGGCGATTTCTGTTACGTACTTAAAGGGACAAAAGGCAAGCAAGTTGGTGTGACCTCAGATAGCCCTCCTTGTTTTTACCACTCGTCAGCAGTTCCTCGAGTCAGTTTGGCCAAAAATTGTGGCTTCAAAAAATGGGTTGGCAGAGAGAATGTTTTTCCTTTATCAAAGAAGATCAGAAGATCTCGCAGAAAACTCTGACTCTCTTGACTAGTTTGCTGTTACATCAAATTCATTCAAGAAGATGAGGATATTGATGCTATGTTTTTTCTTCCATTAAGAACAGACTATTTGCAGTCTCAGTTTTACACTGGGGTGCGAAAGGCCGCAGATACCGCCTTAAATCAGGAAGCGCGACTTTTATGGTCAGTGGGGAAGCAAAGGATGTCATCGTTGCTGAAGCATCAGCACACTTCAACCTCCAAAAACAAATCATCGTCTTTCAAGATGGCACAGAAGTGCCATATACTCTCAACAAAGGGATAAAGTATCCATACAAAGCAAAGGCGTCTGAGAAGCTATACTTGCTTCACGTTAGTGAGTGAAAAAGGTATATGCTCCAATATTTACAAACATTTTTTGGAGGACTTACGATACTCTGATGATAAGATGGATGACTTTGCATTCCACATTGTCAATTTTCGTCACATATCGACATGCACCACATAAAAAAAACCTGGTGCCAGTTTTTCCATTAACAACAGACTATTTCCAGTCTCAGTTTTACACTGGGATGCAAAAGGCCGCAGATACCGCCTTAAATCAGGAAGGGGGACTTTATGGTCAGTGGGGAAAGAAAGGATGTCATCGTTGCTGAAGCATCAGCACACTTCAACCTCCGAAAGCAAATCATCGTCTTTCAAGATGGCACGGAAGTGCCATATACTCGCGACAAAGGGATAAAGTATCCATACAAAGCAAAGGCGTCTGAGAAGCTATACTTGCTTCACGTTAGTGAGCGAAGAGGTATATGCTCCAATATTTACAAACATAATTTTTTGGAAGACTTACAATACTTTGATGATAAGATGGATGACTTTGCATTCCCCATTGTCAATTTTCGTCACATATCGACATGCACCACATAAAAAAAACCTGGTGCCAGTTTTTCAAAAGGTGGATAGCGCTA